TTCACTGCCCTAAAATTCTGTGCTGTATCTGTTCATCCTTACTTTCTTTCCCTGAGCCCTTGGCAACCACAGATCATTTTTATCTTGTCCATGGTTTTGGCTTCTTTAGAACATCAAATACTTGGAATCAAGCAGTATATAGCCTTTCCAGATTGGCTTCTTTCACTTAGCAATGTGCATATAATGCTCTTTCACGTCTTTTCGTGGCTTAATAACTCATTTCATTTTTATCTCTGAATAGTCTCCATCGTGTAAATATACAGCAGTTTGATTATGCATTCACCTACAAGAAGGAAATCTTAGTTGTTTCCAAGTTTTGGAAATTATGAATATAGCTGCTATAAAAATTCCTAGTGCCACAGATAATCATTCTAATACTTTTTCATTCCACAGTCCTATAGATGATGCACTCAGGAAGATTAACAGATCTCCATGAATAAACAAATTCACACACACACACACACACACACACACACACACACACACACACACCCTTAACTGCTCCTAGCAGGAAGGAAAATGGGATTGAGGGGGATTTTCTAATGGTGAAGGAAATAACATAACTGTAAGCTTTTCTGTGGTTACAGCACAATTTCCAAATTTTCACAAAGATACTCAGTCTTCTGGCCTTGTTGGAGGGATCTTGGTTGATAAATTAAAATGGCAAAAGGTACAGTATAAAGGGGGAAAGAGCCCCACGTAACAATTAACAATATGATTCCTCTTTATCAAAAAAAGCCGGTTCTCCATCTGTCTCATCCTGACGTGGCCCTCATTCCCCATTAACACCAAGGAGGCTCCTGGATAGCATCAGATAGCCTGGCAAGCAACAGGCTGCTTAAAAGGATGCAGAGTGACAGTATCTCCCCCGACCCAGGCATGATCTATTACAGCGTGTGTGTCCCATGCACCCGTCGGCTCTCAGATGCCAAAGCATCAGGCTATAGCAAACAAGCATGGCAGAAGGGGCAGGAATTCGGAGAGAGTAAGCGAAGAACTTCCCACTGCTGGGGAACCTGGGCTCCTGTTCTGACCTAGCAACTGAGAGGAAATGAGCCCACCCAGCTCTTCAGTAATCTTTGCTGCAGAATGAAGAAGAGATGAGACTCTGGCAGAAGACCAGCATACTGGAAGTGGACCACAAGGTTTTAGAGAAGTCAGACTGTGGGCAAGGGAGAGTATCCACATGGCATCCAGGACTGGCAGGGCACAATGGTGTTCTCTGTCTCACTGACATCACTTGCCTGCAGGTATCATCGGCCAGACAGAAGAAGAAAAGTGATCAGATGCTTTTGACCCCACTGAGAATTATATTTCAGAAAGAATGATCTTCTCTTCCATGTAGAGCTACAAACAAACAAATAAACAACTGAACTCCAGATACCTGGAGTTTTGAGATTTATGGCTCACCTATGTCTGTGAAGAACAGGAGTATTTGCATACTAGAAGACTTGACAATTTCCCAAGGATAAATCCAGCATCTTATGGGTCAAAGATAAAACATTTTGTTCCTCTCCCAATCCAAACTCCAACACAAAGGATCCTACAGCTTTCTATTTCAATATAGGCAATCTATAGCATTTATTCCTCAGGCAACAAAATATGTATGAAAAAGGGAACTTATTTCCAATGAGCAATAACCATCTCTACCTCTCCCAGTTTCCAGAAACAGGCACACATTGGTGGCTGTCAACACTGACGTCCTGGGCCTCACCTATTCCCCCCCAATTCAGCCCACAAATACCAAGTACCTCTATGCCTGCTCTGTGCTAGACACTGGGAGGAAACTGCACACAAATCCCAGTCCCTGTCTTCTTGGAGCTGACAATCTGGTGGGAGATACCTAGCTGGGTGTGATGAGCAGAAAAAAGAAGAAATGCAGGGGTACTGGGAGTACCTATGGGGAAGAGCAGGCATCTAGGGTTCACTTTCTCCAAGAAATTAAATTTGAAACCTAAGTATGGGTTAATCAAAGGGGGGTGGGGAGGAGTGTGTTCCAAGCAGAGGGACTAGCAAGCACCAAGGCCCAAGGCCAGAAACAGGCGAATGACACTTTCAGTTCCTTAACTGAAGCAAGGGAAAGTAGAGGAAGAGGAAACAGATGGTTTTAGGTCAGGTGTGGTGGCTCATGCCTGTAATCCCAGCACTTTGGAAGGCTAAGGCAGGAAGATTACTTGAGTCCAGGAGTTCAAGACCAGACTGGGCAACATAGCAAGATCTCGTCTCTCCAAAAAAAATTTTTTTAAATTAGCAGGCTGTGGTGATGCATGTCTGTAGTCCCAGCTACTCGAGAGGCTAAGGTGGAAGGATTGCCTGAGCCTAGGAGGTCGAGGCTCCAGTGAGCCATGATCGAGCTACTGCACTCCAGCCTGGGCAACAGATTAAGACCCCAATGAAAAAACAAAAACAAAAACAAAAAAACCACTCAAACTAATAAAGATGGTTTTGGAACAAACACAAGCATATGACTTGTGGGTTGGCTTTATAAAGGGAAGGGCTACTTGGACAGACACAGATCTCCTTAGGAGGCAAATGTTCCCGTGGTAACTGTTCTCAGATCTGAACTGGTGTTGGCAGGGCCACTGTCTGCTACGTACCTGCTTCACAATGATAAGCAGGTTACCAGGCAGGCCTTCCTGTGGATGAGCATACATACATACACAGAAGAAACAAAGCCTGCATTCATGCATTAACTCTAAAGTTAGAAAGAAGACAAGGCCTAGACAGGCATCCAAAAAGGTAAATGTCTGTTTCTACCCAGCACTTGTACATCGGATTTACTAAATTTATAGTATGATTTCATTACTGTATGTACAGAGACTTCTCCAATAACTGGCTGGTGATTAAGTTACATCACTCAAGATATCACAAACAGAAATGGTATTTTAATCTTGAGAGAGACAGCAACAACTATGGTCAAGTGAAGCCCCAGAGAAGGGGGAACGTGGAAGGTGTGAGTTTTCAATCTTGAAAGAGCATGAGAGACAGCATTAAACAGATCAGTGCTGCGCTGCTGGTGGAGACAGCGACCCCAAACTGTAGAGACCAAGGCCCAGTGAGCTGGCCCTGAACATCACAGGGCAAGTGATAGCTGGAGACAACAGCAAATGATATGTGCCCACATGCGTCTATTTTCCTTTAAGAAAAAGGTGAGTAGAGGCAAGTGGAGTCATTTTGTTGTGGAAAGACTTTCTCAGCTCTAATTACTCCCGATAGCTGTAATTTACAAGTTTTTGGTGGATAGAAATCACCAAGATTCACACATTTTCAGACCAACAGCTGCCACTATTAGTGAGCAAATTGCCAAGTCTTCTGCACGGCGGTGGCTGGCTAGCTGTGGCCCAGTCAGGTGACAAGCCTGAAGTGCCAAGAGGCAAGCCATACCAAGAGGCCCCAGTGTTCCCACTCCCTGTGGGGCTGGCCACAGGATAAACTGTCACAAAACAAAGAATTAAAACCGCCATTACAGAAATAACATCCACCTTACATACCGTGCAAAGAAGGACGCCTCTCTTAGAATGTGAGAATTCCTGGAACACTGCTGTTCTTTCCTACAAAAACAAGGAAAAATAGGGTCTTACAACTCTCAGATGAATTCCAGCAAGGTAGGCTTAGATTTCCCTAACTCTTCCAATTTCCTACTGCTATAGCTATTTTTAGGCACAGAGAGGCAAGAGGAAGAAGTCGATTCTTCGAATATTCTAAGAGGATCTTGCGTGTACAGACCAGAAACAGCCAACAAGAGCTGGGAAGGCCAAAGGGCCCAAAGAGACTGCATGCAGGGCTCTGAACCTCTTTAGAATTTATTCTAAACATATTCTCCTACAAGTGCTCTACAGGAATAAAGAAGAACCAATCTTCCCTACCAGGCAATGTTTTAAAAACTGATTTTTAAAAAGATTAAAATGTATAAAACTATGTATTTTAATTGCAGAAAAATCCTATTTAAGTTCAAAGAAGGAAATAAATTCATCCTTCCACTCAAGGCAAACTGTCACCACTACTGGCTATACCTTGATGTTTCCTAAGTCCCTATTTTATGCATAACATAATCAGGTATGCAGTTAGCTTTTTCAAAAATAGTATCCTATTGGCTCAAGTCTGTAATCCCAGCACTTTGGGAGGCCGAGGTGAGAGGACTGCCTGAGTCCACGGGTTCCAGAACAGCCTGGGCAACTTAGTGAGACCTCTCCTCTACAATAAATCAAAAAATTAGCTGGGCATAGTAGCGCATGCCTGTAGTTCTGGCTACTTGCGAGGCTGAGGCAGAAGGATCACCTGAGTCCAGCAGGTTGATGCTGGGGTGGCCATGAGCATGCCACTGCACTCCAGCCTGGGTGACAGAGTGAAACTCCAAATCCAAAAAAAAAGGTATCCTACATATTTATACTATTAAGCGTATCAACGGAATGTGAACATCTTTCCATGTCAATAAATATCCAAAGACCATATCATCATCTCTCATGGTGACTTCAGTTGAAGAGATGCATCATCACTAACGGATGTGACCAATGTTCTATTACTGGCAACTGGGGCTGTCCCAACTTTTTTTTTTTTTTTTTGAGTTGGAGTCTCACTCTGTTGCCCAGGCTGGAGTACAATGACATGATCAGGGCTCACCACAGTCTCAACCTCCTGGGCTCAGGAGGTTCTTCTGCCTCAACTTCCCAAGTAGCTGATACTACAGGTGTATGCCGTGATGCCAGGCTAATTTTTAAAATTTTTTGTAGGGATGGAGTCTCACTGGGTTGCCCAGGCTTGTCTTGAACACCTAGCCTCAAGCAATTTTCTACCTCAGCCTCCCAAAGCACTGGGATTATAGGCTGAGCCACCGAGCCCGGCTCCAACTTTTTTTTTTGAGTCGAAGTCTCACTCCATTGCCCAGGCTGGAGTACAATGACATGATCAGGGCTCACCACAGTCTCAACCTCCTGGGCTCAGGAGGTTCTTCTGCCTCAACTTCCCAAGTAGCTGATACTACAGGTGTATGCCGTGATGCCAGGCTAATTTTTAAAATTTTTTGTAGGGATGGAGTCTCACTGGGTTGCCCAGGCTTGTCTTGAACACCTAGCCTCAAGCAATTTTCTACCTCAGCCTCCCAAAGCACTGGGATTATAGGCTGAGCCACCGAGCCCGGCTCCAACTTTTTTTTTTGAGTCGAAGTCTCACTCCATTGCCCAGGCTGGAGTACAATGACATGATCAGGGCTCACCACAGTCTCAACCTCCTGGGCTCAGGAGGTTCTTCTGCCTCAACTTCCCAAGTAGCTGATACTACAGGTGTATGCCGTGATGCCAGGCTAATTTTTAAAATTTTTTGTAGGGATGGAGTCTCACTGGGTTGCCCAGGCTTGTCTTGAACACCTAGCCTCAAGCAATTTTCTACCTCAGCCTCCCAAAGCACTGGGATTATAGGCTGAGCCACCGAGCCCGGCTCCAACTTTTTTTTTTGAGTCGAAGTCTCACTCCATTGCCCAGGCTGGAGTACAATGACATGATCAGGGCTCACCACAGTCTCAACCTCCTGGGCTCAGGAGGTTCTTCTGCCTCAACTTCCCAAGTAGCTGATACTACAGGTGTATGCCGTGATGCCAGGCTAATTTTTAAAATTTTTTGTAGGGATGGAGTCTCACTGGGTTGCCCAGGCTTGTCTTGAACACCTAGCCTCAAGCAATTTTCTACCTCAGCCTCCCAAAGCACTGGGATTATAGGCTGAGCCACCGAGCCCGGCTCCAACTTTTTTTTTTGAGTCGAAGTCTCACTCCATTGCCCAGGCTGGAGTACAATGACATGATCAGGGCTCACCACAGTCTCAACCTCCTGGGCTCAGGAGGTTCTTCTGCCTCAACTTCCCAAGTAGCTGATACTACAGGTGTATGCCGTGATGCCAGGCTAATTTTTAAAATTTTTTGTAGGGATGGAGTCTCACTGGGTTGCCCAGGCTTGTCTTGAACACCTAGCCTCAAGCAATTTTCTACCTCAGCCTCCCAAAGCACTGGGATTATAGGCTGAGCCACCGAGCCCGGCTCCAACTTTTTTTTTTGAGTCGAAGTCTCACTCCATTGCCCAGGCTGGAGTACAATGACATGCTCACGGCCACTGCAGCCTTGACCTGCTGGGCTCCAGCAATCCTTCCACCTCAGCCTTCCAAGTAGCCAGAACTACAGGCGCGCACTACCATCCCCGGCTAATTTTTTGATAAGGTCTTGCCAAGGTCTTGCCAAGTTGTCCAGGTCTCAAACCCCTGGGCTCAGGCAAGCCTCTCGCCTCGGCCTCCCAAAGTGCTGGGATTACAGGCTTCAGCCACCACGCCCGGCATATAAGGGTAATTTTTAACAGCTGTATTATAGAATCAAAATTAGGAAAAAAAATCAGAAAAGTTCATGAAAGCCTGTGAAACATCTTAAATACTTGACATAATATATTCAGACTTGGGGGAAGGAAAGAAAACCTACAAAACTCTTGGACTTTCATCACAACTACCATGTAGCATCTTCTTCAAACAGTAACTTCTCTCTAATGCTCATATTCTTATTTCAAATCACGTCAAGTCTCTAAGGAGACCATACTAAGGTTCTGTGGGGCAGTGGCCAGGTTAACAGGCAGGAAGATGTAATCGGGACTGTTTTAGCTTAGCCTGGAACAAGACACTTGACCCGAACACTTAAAATACAAAAGGGTGGGACATTACCTCCTATCTTTCACTGTGAAGCCTAAGTACTTAATAAACAGACAGCATAAGTAAAATATTAGTGATTGGCTGGGCTTGGTGGCTCAGCCTGTAATCCCAGTGCTTTGGGAGGCTGAGGTGAGTGGATTGCCTTAGTCCGTGGGTTCGAGACCCACCCAGGGAACTTGGTGAGACCTCATCTCTACAATAAATAAAAAAACCAGCCAGCCATGGTAGCGCGCACCCGTAGTTCCAGCTACTTGAAAAGCTGAGGTGGAAGGATCGCTGGAGCCCAGCAGGTCGAGGCTGCGGTGGCTGGGAGCATGCCACCGCACTCCAGTCTGAGCAACAGAGTGAGACTCCAACTCAAAAAAAAACTGTAATGATTATTAAACTATGAAAAACCCTGAAAGACAGATAACAATAACAATGGCACTAACATTTATTGAATACTTACCTTTTGCTAGGTACTATATTAACTACAGGGCATTAACTTAATACATCGTCACAACAATCCAATAAGTAAGTACTACTATTATCCCCATTTTAGACACAAGAACACTGAGGCACAGAGCGATTAAATATTTACTTAAGGTCACACAGCCAGCAAATGAAAAGCCAGAACAACACAGCAGTCTGTCCCCTAGAAAGCACGGCTATAAACACCATGCTAGATTATCACCAGTATATAGTGTGAGATAAACGATTTCTATAAAATCTAACTGTAGAATCTTTTGTCTAATCTATTAAAATTCCTGGTCTCTGGATCCCTTTGTAGTTTATAAATGTGATTAGGTTTTCACGAGCATGTGTAAGATGTGCCATGCTCAAACCTTGTTACGTTGCTGGCACACAACCCATCTGACAATGAAAGAAAAAAAATTTCTAGATTGTTCTGAGTCTGAATTTCCAGTTCCTCCATTATTCTAAAACCTACGCTACAGAATGTCTCTGGTAAAAACAGACCCAGAGGATTAATAAACTAAGATTAACAAAAAAAGAAACAAAACCCCAAAGCATAAAATGGTATTAAAAAATAAAATCAACAAACTCGACTGAATCAGGGATCCTGAAGGTAAAAATCAAGAGTTGCTAACTCTCACAAAGGCTGGAATAGTCAAGGACTTTCATATCAACTTGTGGTAAATAACCTGTGTCCTTGAGTGACCTTAAGCAAGTTTACTTTTCTGGGTCTCCATTTCCTAAATTATCAAAACAAACAGACAAAAAGAAGGCTGGACTTGTTTAGGACCATGTCAGATCTCTAATGCCACTTTTAGCAGTAAACATGTTATGATTTTTCAAGCTGCTTGAAACCTCATTCTGATTTCTCGTTTTCTTCCACTCTTTCTAATTTTCTAAGCCGTCTGGTAAGCTCTCCTCTAGGACAAAATGGCTCCTGTTTCCAAGCCCTGTTCGTTCTTCCTTTCCAGTTCCAGCAAGTGTATCTCACTCCCATATTCCAGCCTGACTCTCTAAACGGATGGCCTAGTTAAGAGTAGTACGATGAGACTCATGGCCAAGTTCCTAAAATAAAGGAAATATGACGCTGTTCTACCTGAATGCAAATCCTACTCTGTGCCGAGAAAGAAATGGGAGCCCGCAGCCCCTCTGGTACACAGTACCCTCTCCCAACCCAAAGTGTTCAGAGTGCAGCGCTGTGTCTTGTTGACAATGACAGCAGCCGTGCTCAGCAGTACCATATGGGATCCACAATTTAGCTCCATTAATGCTCTTAATTTGAAGACATCAAGCCCTAATTACACACTGGGTACTAAAAAGGCAAAACCCTTCCCTGGTGCCAGCTACTTAGTGGTACTCTGTTGCCTTAACAGCTGGTTGAGGTAGACTCAGGCCAAGCCGAGGCCTGTGAGCTCTCTCAGGTGGAAGAGACCGGCTCCTGGAGCAAAGCAAACGGGAACAACAGACTCTCCCTCAAGTTCCAGCGGTCACCCACTCTTGGCTGATTCTTGCCAGGCCCGCTGTGGTCTTCAGGGTCCACAAGCCAGTGCTAAGCCCTAAGGATACATTTGCCAGGACTCGGGTTTTTTGCCGCTCTGGGCCACGTTGCCGCACAGGGAGAGGGTTGTGCTCACCTCCTGCTTCATGTTGCCATGCAGCCGCAGGAATTTTAATCGCGTGGAGGCAGATGGTAACTGCCCTAATGCCGGAGCCCCTGAGCTGCTCAGCAGGGTCTGCAGAAAGAGGCTGTAGTGGAACTCCACCAGCTCGCAACTGGAGAAAAAGACAATCATCTTCTGGTCTTTCTCAAACTACAAAGACGGAGGAGGAGGTGGGGGTGGGGTGAGAAACACACATTTTTAAGGTTAGGTGACACTAAAACGAGTATTTCTCTAAAATACATAGTCATGTGGACCCCGATTTGGAAACACAGGCGGCAAACAGTTTTCAATTATTAAAAACAAACAAACAAAATACTACACTATACTACATAAAGAATGTAGAAAAATGACACAGCTACAACCTCAAACAGGTTTCCCAGATCTGAAAAACACAAATACACTGCAGTGCAGCTGTGTGCTAGCTCTGTGCCTTCCAATCACTCAGGGCTCACCACACACAATACCACCCACCTGGCTAAGACTCAACATACAGAAAATCTTGAAGTTTCCTCCTCAAGCCCTTCCATTTACTAATTTTCCATATCCCAGAGAAAGCCATCACATGCATCTAGTAAATAAATACACAAATATTAGGATTCTTTAAGAAACACAGGCACAAGCCCCTGTATTTCATGTTCCTGCCACCTGTGCTATTCCTAATTTTAGTCCCAGGCAAGATGTGTAAGGCAGTTTTCAAGTTGAACATCATGGCCAGCTGGGCCTGGTGGCTCATGCCTATAATCTCAGCAACTTGAGAGGCTGAGATGGGAGGACTGTTTGAGCCCAGGAGTTTGAAACCAGACTAGGCAATTTAGTGAGACCTCAGCTCTACAAAAAAAAAAAAAAATCAAAAAATTAGCCAGGTGTGGTAGTGCTCGACCGTAGTTCCAGCTATTCAGGAAGCTAAGGCAGAAGGATTGCTTCAGCCCAGGAGTTTGGTGGTGAGCCATCATTGTGCCACTGTACTCCAGCCTGGATGACAGAGTGAGACCCTGATTCAAAAAAAAGAAAAAGAACATCATGGCTATTGCTGACCTTTGATTCTTTATCACAATCCTAGAAACACTGATTGAAAGGATATATTTTAAGTTCTGCGTCCATGAACTCAGAGATAAGTTGGAGAACTCCTTTTTTTTGTTGATGTCTCAACTCATGAATGAAACTTTGAATGCTTGACGCAAACAAAATAGGTCTTTCTTCCCTGGATCAAGCCAGGTCTGGTCTAGAGACCTACCTTGCATTTCTGAAGAATGAAGGCCGCTAGGGAGACAAGCCTCAGTTTACTGGGAACCAAAGTCACGTACTGATTGAGATTCTCTGGTATTGCAAAGCCATCCAGTTTGTCGCTAGTATATGCAGGAGAGACTTCCTGGACCACTTTGCCTTTTGTGTTAAACTGATTGTGGCTTTCGTCCAGAACAGAAATACTGACTGGATTGTGCAAACTGATATCAGCTAGCCGTGTTACACCTTAGACAAAAAGAGAAAAAGGCAAAGCAAACACAACACACACTATGACACTGGTCACTATGACAATGGTCACGAATGCATACCCCCTCACAGCAACCAGCCAGGATTATTAAAAAAGTCCCTATGGGAATCACCGAGGCCCAGCACTCATCTGCCCTTCTGTCCAGCTGGTGGGGCACATGTACCAATTTGTGTCCATGGCCTAACAGCCAATCCATACCAACATTTAATAAACCCTCATCTATGAAAGACCATCTAAAAGGATATTAACAGATGTTTGTACCCACCCCCACCTCCCAAAAGGATTCTTTGGTCAAGTAAGTTGTGGAAAACTTTGGATTAAAAGTTTCACAAAAGTTTCTTTGCAACAAACCATCTCAGGGCCTTTACTCTTTTGATGTATACTGTGAATATCCAAAGGGGGCATTTCTCAAACTTTTTTTGACGACAAAATCCCTTTTTCATGAATTATATCTCAAAATTAATATTACTTAGAATATACTCAGAAAACTGTGAGGGGCCACATGAACGGCATCTGGTATGTGGACATCACAATGTGGCCTAGTAAATCAAGTAAACCAGACACAAGAACATGAAAGCTGTATTGTTGTTCAGACAATGACTAATTATGTGGGGTGATTCTGGAGGAGTGATGTAACTTTTCCAAGCCTCAGTGTCCTCAACTATAAGAGAGAGCTAGGAATTTCCATCTCATGAGGATGGGAGACAGAAAGAAGCTTAAAGAACAGATTTTAAAGTTCAATATCTCTCAGGAGAAAAGCAGACTAATTACACTAAAAATACACTTGAATGAGAGGCCATCATCTTCAGTGCAAGGGCCCTGATCTCTGTGGGCTGCGACTGCAACGAAAATCTCATGGAACCACCAGGCCAACAGAGTCAGCCTTTTCTCTTCCTCTGCACCTTGACGTGAGCACCCGCAGCATTCTCCTTACCTGAGGTGATTCTAGCTCTGGGGCTTGCCCTTTCTCTCTTTCCCCATGATCTGGGGAACATACCAGTCTTGGGCAACTGGAAGAGGGAGGTTGGGAGTGCAGGACATATAGTTTGAAAAGCAGTCCTCTAGGGAGACCTTAGAATCTCTGCTGGCAAACAGTGGGGATTAAATCTAGGTTTCTCCTCCTTATTAAGAACAAAGGAGGCCCCATCAGTCCTTTTTAACTCACCTTCTGTGAGTGTCGCTGACAGCAAGACATTCTGTTGTTTCTGGCATTTGGCATTTACGGCATTGAGTATCACTGTGATGTCCTTTTCAAAACCCAAATCCAAGATTCTGTGGTTATAATAAAAGAAATCTGAATCTACATGAAGAGATGTAATCTCCATGTTGTCTAAGGCACTACAGAAGTTGCAACGAAACAGCAGAAACAGCCCTTTTCTTCTACCTTTCATGATTCTTGGATGAGGCTTACCTGTCTGCTTCATCGAAAACCAGCCACTGTATCCGACTAAAATGAATGTTCTTTGTGGATTTTATATGATCCACCAGACGTCCAGGAGTTGAGATAAGGATATTTATTCCTTTGCGGAGTCTGTTTAAAATCATATATAATAAGAGAAAGTAAATCAAACGGGGCTATATCAATAGAAAACACAGGAAAAAGGCAAGCAGAAAGATTCATTTCCTGTACAGCACAAATGTGCCACAGCCTGAAATCATGACAAAACATAATGCAAACTGGGTCAAAACATAAACTTGACTTTTTCCTTCTCCCACAGAATGTAATTGTTAAGATCTGAAATTATACTAAAATCATGAAACTTTAACTTTGAAAGGAATCCTAACTACATAATCCAATGCTCTTTATCTGATTCTTAAATTCTTTCTAGAACATTCCAGATAGTCATCCAACCTATTCTTGAAGGGTTCTGCGTCAGGGAAGCCACGCCAATGTGCCAATTGCTCGACCATTTTTTCTTACTGAGCCCTTTTTGTAATTTCCCTACAATAGACCTCGGGCTTTGCCCCATAGGTTATGTAGTATAAACCTAATTTCTTACTCTCCCAACAATTGTTCTCTTACTATTCCACAGTAATAAAAGTAATAAAGCTTTAGCTGGGTATATCTTCCAGCTTTCCTTGAAGTTAAGTATGGTCATGGGCCTATGTTCTAGCATCATCTTCGTGCCTGCTAGCAGGGAACTGGATGTAGTGGATCGAGCCCCATCAACTATCAAAGACTATGAAGTAACCTTTGACAACACAAGCCTCCCACAGTGGCACAAAAAGATAGAACCTTGGTTCTGGCACTAGAGCACTATGAAAGCCCTGGACCCACTCTGTCAGATTTTTTAAATGCAAAAGAAAAATACAATGTCTATATAACTGCTATTTGTCATTATTCTTATCATTTACAGTTGAATCTAATCCTTACCAATACTTTTAGGCTTCAAGTTTAATATTTACTCCTCAGTTATAGGCTACATGCATAGTTGAGTGTCAGTACTAGTTAGTAAGCTACAATACAACAACAAAAAATATTTTTGAGTTGGAGTCTTGTTCTGTCACGTAGGCTAGAGTACAATGGCATGCTTAAGGCTAAGGCAACCTTGACCTACTGAGCTCAGGCAATCCTTCTGCCTCAGCCTTCCAAGTAGCTAGAGCTACAGGTTCACCATCATGCCTGGCTAATTTTTTGATTTATTGTAGAGACAAGGTCTCATCAAATTGCCCAGGATGATCTTGAACTCCTAGGATCAGGCGATCCTCTTGCCTTCACCTTCCAAAATGCTGGGATTACAGGTGTGAGCCATCGTGCCTGACCAATAAAAATATATTTTTGAAAATGTAGACAATTTGGGATTTACTTGTTCCAATAACTTCCAACTGACACCCATTACAAGTTCTAATAAAGAATTAGGAATCAATGTATTTGGGTATAAAAAGCAAATTGCAATGCATTATGTAAGTTTATAATCTTGTTTTTGTAAAATCAAATAAAACCTTAAACTCCACAAGTAGACAAAAGGGAGTTGCACCCAAGGGGATATCTACTAAACAAGGGGGACTGTGGGGTGCCGGGGAAGTGGGAATCGAAAAGGTGATGAACACTGTTACTATGTCAGAAGGAAACCTGTTTGTAGCTTCATCAATATTTTAAAAAATAGCACCGTCTAGAGGTGACCGCACCCCACTGACTCAATCTGTCCCTCTGCTCTGAGACAAGGAAGCACAGCCTGAGACAAAGTTCTCTGCAGGCTTATAAGGACCACGCCTTATTGCATAGGAAGGCAGGACAGACAGACTCACAAAGAATTAACAGCCAACAAACCTCTCCTTACCTGGCCTTTTCTGATTTCCTCTTCTCTCCTCCCATCAACACTCCAGGCACAATCCAGGTGAATGGCTACGAAAGAAAAAAGACCACAGTCAATGCAAAGCTCCCTTTACTGAACACACAGAGTGATTCTAAATCCTTTTCCTCAAACAAATTGGGAGGAAGAATTTGGGCTTCTTGTTTTGAGGTACAATTCCTAGGCTCTGCCACACCCACGGGTCGTATCCACAGTAACTTGAATTACAGCTATATGAGTAGCTTCTATAGCGGTACAAAAGGAATGTGAGCTTTTTAAATGATTCAAATAGCTTCCCTGTCTATTCCTATGGAACCTGAATTGAAAACACATTTCAGTAAGTCTACTGTCTTTTTATCTTTGGTGAAGATGAAATCCCAGCAACACCCTTCTGCATCCTGCTCCCGATAAAGAAAGCATAGATCAATTTACAGCTTCGACTCTGAGGCCTTTTCTCTCCTTTCTTAAGCAAATTCTACTTGCAGCTTTTTAAGCTTTTTACAGTGCCTTCCTCAGGATCACTGTAAGGTTGTGCCTGTGATTTTCTGTATGCGGCCTGCTAGTAACTACGATGAACAAATTATGGAACTTTAAACACTGATAATCCAGCTAAGGTAGAAATTGATAGGTTCAGATTAGTAAAAACCTATAAACTGCCTGGAGAGCAGGGATATCTAGACAAGAAGGAAATAAGAGTAACTCATCTCTTTGAAAATAAAGAAAAGACTGTAGTATATTAAATCTTTCCTCCAAAAGTCAGAAAAAAGACAAAACTGAACTCATGGTTTGCCTTACCTTAAGCAGTTTCTGAACAGTGTCAAAGCTTTGTAGAGCCAGCTGTAAATATTCAAAAGTTATACATTATTAGCAGGTTCTATTTTTTTTTAAATACAATGTAAAATAATTAGGATCCAAACTTGAACCACAAGTTAAAACTGAAGAAAAAGCAATTCTATACACAGAATCTACTCTGAAAATAAACCTTTTCTTAGACTGGTTCTGCAACCTGTCAGTTGGGGAATGAGGGTGAAGACATCACATCTATTTCTCGGATGTATACAAAAATAGTGTTTTGTGCTCCCTCTGCTGGCTCAAATTCCCAAAGTGCCACACAGAGAAGTTCAAGTCTATGGTGTGCAAAGATGTAAGAGGATAAAACAGTCACCCTAGAATTGGACCTCCTTAGAAAGAGAAATAGCACAATACGTGTGAAGGATAAACTATCATAGTGATGCAAAGGCTAGCCTTTGGGAACTTCACCTTAAAGGTGATGTAACTGTGTCCTACAACTGTGGCAGGGGAACTAGGAGACAGCACTCCCCAAGTTCATGTAAATAAAACGACCAAACCAGCAAGTCCAGTGGAAAACAGAGACAGTGAAAACTAATGTGGGTTATAACCATTAACAACCTTCAAACAAGCCTCTTATAGAATCCACTTATCCAAGGATATACAGTTTCCACATATTTAGTATTCATGAGGCATCCTAGGGAAGTAGCAAGTTTGCTGCTGCAAAAATGTTAATAGCTTCTGGGCCTGCTCCTTCATTGGACTGAGCTGAGAAGGGCACTGAAGGCTGTATAAAAGGCTGGCTTGGAATCTCCATCTCTGTGATCAACTCTCTGCAAAGAAGTGATTAGCATTTGATATAGAAAACAGACACCCTAGTCTGAAAACGGCTCTGTGGGCAAACAAAATAGATCAGATAGAAGAGATTTCTATTAAGAAAGAGTAAAAATATTCAGAAGCTTAACTTTCAGCAACAAGTAAAATTTTTAGTAGCAGTAGCTTTTTTTTTTTTTTTTTTTTTTGAGTTGGAGTCTCACTCTGTCGCCCAGGCTAGGGTGCAGTGGCACACTCACGGCCACCACAGCCTCGACCTGCTGGGCTCTGGCAATCCTTTCGTCTCAGCCTTCCAAGTAGCTGGAACTACAAGTATGTGACACCACACCCGGCTTATTTTTTTATTTATTGTAGAGACAAGATCCCACCGAGTTGCCCAGGCTGGTCTTGAACCCCTAGCTCAGGCAATCCTCTTGTCTCGGCCTCCCAAAGTGCTGGGATTAAGGCTTCAGCCACCATGCCCGGCCTAGCAGTAGCTTCTTAAAAACATAAAGGCTCATTTTCAGAGCCAACTGCTTTTGTTTTTTACTTAAGTTAACAAACAAACAAACAAAAAAGAGAAAAATGCAATTCTTGTAATCCCTTTTAAAGGTATAGAAATTTAATGGTGTCGTTAGTTTTTAGACAACAGAGAAATAGATGCTTGTCCATATAAACCTACAATTTTCTTTTCTTTTCGAGACAGGGTCTTGTTCTGTGTTCCAGGCTAGAGTGCAGAGGCACAATCAAAGCTTATTGCAGCCCTGAACTTCTGGGCTCAAGTGATCCTCTAGCTTCAGTTTCCTGAGTATCTAGGACTACAGACATGCACCATCACACCTGGCTAATTTTTTTCTTTTTAAATTTTTTGTAGAGATGGGGGTCTCGCTATGTTGCCCAGGCTGGTCTCAAACTCAAGTGCTTCTCCCACAATGTTGGGAAGAAGATGTGAACTACTGCACTTGGCCTATACCTTACGAATTTCAAAGAGTACCTGACTTTTTCTCCTTGACAAGAACCAGAAGGATGGTTCGTAGGCAAATAAAAAGGGATCGCAGGGGTCTGTGTAGTAGGGAGAGAAGTGATAAAACCATTTTTAAACCCAACAGGACATCAGTGAAAGGCTGCGCTCAAAACTTGCCCCCAAACTGAGCCTGCTTACCTCTCTCGTTGGCACTAGGATCAGAGCATAGGGGCCGTCACTGCGCTGTTGACACAGAGAAAAACGCCGTAAGATAAAAGTCAGACTCCAGATGAACAGGACCTAAGGGTGGTGACTTACAGAACACTGAAAGCATTCTCAGTGGAGAAAAGGACAAGACAAGGAAGCAGAAAACCCCATTTTCAGACAAGAGAAAAAAATATGATGGATGAAACTGGAAAGTAGGAGGCAAAATTATCATTATTAGATGACCTTATTTCATCCTAAAAAATATAATAATCAAAAGCTATAAACAAGATAATTTAGTCAAGTAACTGAAAGCAAAATTAATGTATAAAAAATCAAGAGACTTCCAATACAGAAAGTTAGAAAGTATACTAAAAAGAAAAAAAAATCACACATAAAAGCAACAAAAAAGATAAAAAGAATAAGCCTAACAAAAAATGTACAAAATCTATAATGAAAATTTTAAAACACTTCTAAGGGGCATAACATAAAGTTTAAATAAATGGAATCTATTCCAGGATAAGAAGGTTCAATATTATAAATAAACAAATTCTGCCTAAATCAATCCATAAATATAATGTAACTCCAACAAAAATGCCACAAATATGTATATATATGCATATATCTAAAATAACACATATAACCAGGCAAGCTGATTTCAAAGTTGATGTCAAAAATAAATGTGCAAGAATAATCAAGACATTTATGAAAAACATATCAGATGTAAAAATAATTTAAAGTCACAGCAATTAAAAATAATGATACTGAGACAAAAATAGAGATTACAATAGCAAATATAGTCTAGAATAGAATCATACACATATAGAAATTCAGGAAATAATGTAAGGGCCATTTTATATCAGCAAGGAAAAGATGGTTTATTCAAAAGTCCTTTGAGAGAAAAATAAAGTTGGGAAAATAAAGCTGGAATTAAAATGGCCTTATTACAGATGACTCAGAAACCTTAAAAGAAAACACTGACACATTTTATTACACAAAAATTTTAAATCTCAGAATATAAAAATAATACCCAAACAAAATAAAGAGTCAAATGACAACCTGGAGGCGGGGGAGTATGCCACACCTAAGGGAACTAGCTCTTAACTTATAGAGTAGTCCTATAATTTAATAAATGAAGAAAGGGCAAAAACAACTAATTTATGGACATCAGAATTCAAAATATAGTTGTTACACATATGAAAAAATGTTCAGTCAGGCGCAGTGGCTCATGCCTATAATCCCAGCACTTTGGGAGGCTGAAGTGAGAGGACTGCTTGAGCCCACGGGTTGGAGACCAGCCCAGGCAACTTGGCGAGACCTTGTCCCTACCGTAAGTCAAAAATTAGCTGGGCACGGTGGCACTTGCCTGTAGTTCTAGAGACTTGGAAGGCTGAGGCGGAAGGATCGCCTGAGCCCAGCAGGTCAAGGCTGCGGTGGCCATGAGTGTGCCACTGCACTCCAGCCTGGGCAACAGAGTGAGACTCCAACTAAAAAAAAAAAAATTCAACTTTACTCCTAAGAGAAATTCAAACTGAGCTACAATACAGTATTTTCCCTATAAATTGAGAAAAAATAAAAGAGCAGATGGTACTAATGAGGGCACAGGTAACAGGAACTCTATGCTGCTGGTCAAAGTGCTTATGGCTATCACCCCTTTAAAGGGCAAATCTGAAGCTGGGTGCAGTGGCTCCCGCCTGTAATTCCAGCACTTTCAGAGGTTGAGGCGAGAGGATTGCCTGAGCTCACAGATTCGAGACCAGCCTGGGCAACACAGTGAGACCTTGTCTCCAGAAAAAAAAAAAAAAAAAATTAGCTGAGTGTAGTAGCGCATGCCTATGGTTCCAGCTACTTGGAAGGCTGAGGTGGAAGGATAGCCTGAGCCCAGCAGGTTGAGGCTGTAGTGGCTGTTAGCATGCCCACTGTATTCCAGTCTGGGCAACAGAATAAGACTCTGACTCAAAAAAAAAAAAAAGAGGCAAATTTGGCATTATCTACCACAATATAAAAGCAAATTTCATTTATATACATTTCTCCTACAGATGTGTGCATAAAGAAGGTATAGAATATTTTACCGACTATACAGTATTTATATGATCCCCGTTAGCAGCAGAACACTAGGCAGAATGTAAATTCCACCAGGCAGTAAGGGAATTATGCAGTAATTTATGGTACACACATAAAATGAAATACTAGGCAGCCATTAAAAAGAATAAGGCCAGCCGGGCTCGGTGGCTCAGCCTGTAATCTCGTGCTTTGGGAGGCCGAGGTGAGTGGATTGCCTGAGCCCAAGGGTTCGAGACCCGCCTGGGCAACTTGGCAAGACCTCATCTCTACAATAAACCAAAAAATTAGCCGGGCGTGATAGTGCACGCCTGCAGTTCCAACTACTTGGAAAGCTGAGGCGGAAGGATCGCTGGAGCCCAGCAGGTTGAGGCTGCGGTGGCCGGGAGCGGACACTGCACTCTAGTCTGGGCTACAGAGTGAGACCCCACCTCAAAAATAAATAAATAAATAAATAAATAAGACCGCCTAATACAGTGCTGATAAAAAATCATTCCCAAAACATATTACAGGAACGAAAGCCAGGCATAGAACATCATGACAAAGTGACTATTTGCGTATCAAACCAACAAAACAGAAAAATGTTCAAACACACACAAAACTTCACATAAAAGAAGGAAGAGGAATTACGCATACTCATATTTGCTTGACATGTCAAGAATTTTCCTGGGAGGATACACAAGAGGCTGGTAATAACAACCACTGTATCCTGAGAAGCAAACTGTGTCACCAAGGGAAACAGGGAGTAAGATGACTTACGTTTCACTATATATGTTTTGGTACTCTTTGAATTTTTTTTCACATATACAGTATGCTATATCTAAAAATATTAGTAAAAAAAGAAACCAAAGTCATCTGAAAAGGCCCCTAAGTCAACGGTGGCTTGCACACCTCAAGTGCTCAAAGACACTAAACGAGTCAAAACAATGTTAGTGTAGAAACTAAGCACACAGACTTAGCAGTAAATTCAATTACAAGGATGGTTTTCATGTTTTGCATAGGAAACATTTACCCATAAGAAGAAAAGGATTTGGAATTCAAACCAGAGCCGTCTGTACGCAACATCAACTTTGTGAGACTACACTGAACCCAAGCTAGGAACGGTAAATATGCTAGTACAACAGAATCAACGTGCCGCTGTGTGACGTTAGGAGATTCTGACATTTCAAAAGGTGTTACTACACAGAGAAGAAGAAAGAAAAATCAATTCCTCGCAGGGCACAAGGAAGTGAAGAAGGATGGATGCTCTGTTAAAGAAATCAGAGCCAAAGCAACGTGAAGAGTGCGAGCACAGAGAAGTAGTCCATTCTTGTGTCATTGCCAAAGTAATTTAAGAATCTGCTGGGTGCCCTGGATTTGTTGCTCCCTGAAGATACATTTTTTACAGGTCAAATCATTTTACAATGAACTCCAAGGAATTATACTGAATATTACATGAAATTTGTGAATTAAATTGGGGCTTGGAAAACTGTTTCTACAGAACGTTGCAGTCTTTAATAGAATGATCTGCTAGTGATATTTTAAAATATTTGAGCCAATAAAAAACTACATGGCTTGTTATGGTTCTGAATACAAGCAAATCATATCATCACCCTTCAAAGTAGCCACGCAGTTGTCAATGATAGCTAAGATGTAATGAGCACGTACTGTCACCAGGTGCTGGATACCACATCTGAATACATCACATGCATCAGCTCATTTAATCCTCAGGCCCTGCTATTGTCTGGGTACCACAGAGGAAGATGCTGAGGCCCAGAGGATGAAATGATTTGCCTAAAGTTACACTCTGACCCATGATTTAAGCAGAACCGCCCATCACACAGCCCTCCTCATGTGCTTGTCATTAAATCTCTCTCATCCTCAGATCACAGATCTTTGAAATGAGAGTTGGACTAGAACTGCCCAAGACATTCTAGTTCTAACATTCCCAAACTCTCCAAATTGGCATAAAGAAAAAACCACTACTGGCAAGAAGTTCTCTTGGAGTGTATAAGTAGATGAGACTTTCCTACATGATTATAATAATGCACATTTATAATTCTCTAACTATGTACCAGGGACAATGTGAAGCACTTTACACAAATTATCTCACTGTAAAGCACTTAATGGGAAAAACAATCAGTTGCCTTTAGGAAATAAAATCCCTCATTATTCCATCTCAGAGAAAACCAATATTAATAGTTTGCTAAAGAAACGTCTAGTCTTTTTATGCATATATACACACCATTATTATTTATGAAATTGGAGTCATACTATAAATACTGTTTTGGAGTCTGTCCTTTTCAATTAGTAAGGCAAGAACATTTGCCTAAGTTCACAAATAGTAATTGAAGAAATATCACGTTTAATGGCTATATCAGGTTCCAACATTTGGGCACTTTCATAGGGTTTCTTTTTTAATTGATATAAAAAAATCTTTAACCTATTCATTATGAAATAATTTTATTCTTACAAAAAAATTATAAAAATAGTACAAGGACTTCCCATAAACCCTTCTCTCAGCTTCCTCATGTTATCAATTCTCAAAAAGTAGGAAATTAACACTGATTCAATGCTATGAATTCATCTATAGACCTTATTCAAATTTCATCAACTGACCTGTTTTGTTTTGGTTTTTTTTGAGTTCGAGTTTCACTCTGTCGCCCAGACTGAAGTGCAGTGGCTGGCCACCGCAGCCTCGACCTGCTGGGCTCCGGCGATCCTTCCGCCTCAGCCTTCCAAGTAGCTGGAACTACAGGAGCGCACTACCACGCCCGGCCAATTTTTTGATTTATTGTAGAGATGAGGTCTCACCAAATTGCCCAGGCAGGTCTCGAACCCACGGGCTCAGGCAATTCACTCACCTCAACCTCCCAAGGCGCGAGATTACAGGCTGAGCCACCGAGCCTGGCTAACTGACCTGTTAATGTCCTATTTCCAGACCAGGATCAAATTCAGGACTACCATGTTGTATTTCATTGTCATGTCGCCTTCATTCTGGAGCAGCTCTTTAGTATTTCTTTGTTAAGACCTTAATACTTTCAAATACTGACCAGTTATTTTCTAGAATGTCCCTTTATTTGGATTTATCTGGGGATTCCTTATGATCAAATTCAGGTTACAAATTTTTGGCAAGAAAACCACAGAGGTGGGCAACCCCCTTAAGTCCCCTCCCACTGTGGAAGCATTTTTGTCCTCTCAATAAATCCTGCTTTCTTAAAAAAAAAAAAAGAAAAAGAAAACCACAGAAGTGATGTGTCCTCCTCAGTGTCTTCCTCAGGAGGCATGCTAGGTTAAAACACCTCATTACTGGTGATACAACATCCTTCACTCGGTTAAAGAGATGACAGTCGGGCTTTTTTATTGTAGAGTTACTGCTTTTCCCTTTGTAATTAAAAAGTATCTTGTGTGGAGGTTTCTGTTTTTGTTTTTGAGTTAGAGTCTCACTCTGTTGCCCAGACTGGAGTGCAGTGGCCACTCCCGGCCACCGCAGCCTCGACCTGCTGGGCTCCGGCGATCCTTCTGCCTCAGCCTTCCAAGTAGCCGGAATTACAGGCATGCGCTACCACGCCCGGCTGATTTTTTGATTTATTGTAGAGATGAAGTCTCACCAAGTTGCCCGGGTGGGTCTTGAACCCACGGGCTCAGGAAATCCACTCACCTCGGTCTCCCAAAGTGCTGGGATTACAGGCTGAGCCACCAAGCCCAGCCTGTGGAGATATTTTAATACAATATAAATATTCCATTTTTCATCACACTTTCATTCACTCATGTTAGCATCTATGATAATTCATGTCACAAAATATTACCATGGCATCTGTCAAGTGGTGATTTTCTATTTCTATCACTTCTACACTTATTCATTGGAATTCTACCATAAGGAAGGGCTTTTCCTTCTCCTCATTTATCATTATTATTATCATTATTTTAGTCGGCATCTCACTCCGTCACCCAGGCTGGAGTGTAGTGGCACACTCACGGCCACCCCAGCATTGACCTGCTCGACTCCCATGATCCTTCTGCCTTAGCCTTCCAAGTAGCTGGAACTACAGGCACATGCTACCATGTCTGGCTAATTATAATTATTATTATTTTTTTTATTTTTTTAGTTGGAGTCTCATTCTGTCGCCCAGACTGGAGTGCAGTGACCACTCCTGGCCACCGCAGCCTCGACCTCCTGGGCTCCAGCGATCCTTCCACCTCAGCCTTCCAAGTAGCTGGAACTACAGGCGCACGCTACCACGCCCGGCTAATTTTTTTTTAATTTATTGTAGAGATGAGGTCTCACCAAGTTGCCCAGGCGGGTCTTGAACCCACGGGCTCAGGCAATCCACTCACCTCAGCCTCCCAAAGGCGCGGGATTACAGGCTGAGCCACCGAGCCTGGTTTACATTTTTTTTTTTTTTTTTTAAATTGTAGAGACGAGGTCTCGCCAGTTTACTCGGGCTCGTCTCAAACCCACAGCCTCAGGCCATCACTTGCCTCAGTTTCCCAAAATGCTGGGATTACAGGCTGAGCCACTGGGCCCGGTCCATTTATTTATCTATAAAATAATTTATTTATATCACTTTGGACTCATGGATATTTGTTTTAGTCTATGGACTATAATGCAATACTATCATTTATTTTGTCACTCAGATGTTAGGTAGGCTTGATAGCCAAACTGAGAAAAACAGGAACCAATGAGCTCTTCTCATCAGTTTTGTGCACTCACCTCACTTCCTATTTCTGTCTCATCATTTCCTCTCAACTGGGAATAACTAGGGCTCAATTATTCTCCCTCAATTATGTCGGATTCCGGGCTGAGGTTAGAGATGAAGCTTATCCCCACAGACCATAACAGCTAACCAGCCACCCAGGGAACCCAAATTTTGGCCCCCTTGGTCCAGGCACTAACTGAACATGTTTCACAACTAAAGATAAATTCTAGATAATCTTAAAAACAAGAGTCTAATTGTCAAACCCACTAATTGGGTGCATATTTTCACATCTACTGCTCATGATAAGTCACTGTTTAAATAAAAAGTTCTGCCTTCTTGGTTAAAAATAAACAACACATTGGCACTTAGAATAGAAGGTTAAAATCTTCTTCCTTTCTTCTCTGTCTGTATCTCTCTGTCCCTATCTCTATCTTTCTGTCCCTTTTTTTGTCTTTTTCTCCCTCTTTTTAGAGACAGGGTCTCACACTCTGTAACCCAGGCTAGAGCTTACTGCAGCATCTGACTCCTGGGCGCAAGAGATTCTCCTGCCTCATTCAGCTTCCAGAGTAGCCAAGATTCTCCCGCCTCATTCAGCTTCCAGAGTAGCCAGGACTACAGGCACATGCCACCACACCTGGTTGGAATTTAATTCCTTACATAATTTACAACACAGACTCAAGATAAGAACGTAGATGCACAGTTACAAAATCAAACCATCTTGAGAAATTTACTGAGTGATCATTTTGTAGAAGTTCCAGGCTAAGTACCATGGAAGACACAGAAATACTGTCCCCACAGAGCATAGGCGACGCAATTAATCTCCACCATAAAATCATGACACAGAGTAAGGAGCTTGGTCTCTGGTGCCAAAAAGAACTGAGGTGGAAATCTAGTTCTGCCATTATTTGTTGCATGGCCTTGGTTAGTTAGCTTTCCTAAGCCTAATTTTCTTTGTAAAACTGGGATCAACACGCAGGAGTACCTACAACTTGGTGGGGCAAGGGGCAGTTAAAGATTCAAGAAGATACACATGCAAAGCCTGCGGCACAATGTCTGCTACATGGGGAGCTAGCTCTTTACAATGTTGCCTGTTATACTTACTGTGACAACTGTCAGAGGAATATTTATTTTATTCCACCTGGGCACAGTCTTTAGATGCAACATGTTTATGTAGTAAATAAATTAAAATGAGGAGAAATCAATGCTAAATGAAACAGATTGTTTTAGTCCTAATGCTACTGCTATAGTTCAGCTGGATGGTTGCTTATGGACAATGGTAGGAAAACACAAACTCACCTGTATTTTTGGCTCCATTGCTTGAAGAGACTGGACCACAGGGATGCAATAAGCAAGAGTTTTACCTTTTTTTAAAAAAAGTGCAAAAATCATTAAAATCACAAGCCCTGTAGATGAAAGAAAAGCAAAGGACATAAAGGAAACAGGCTTTGCTATCTTCGAGTAGAACCAAATTCTGGGGAAAAGAAACCACATTGTATATCCAAGAGAAATGACAAAGGGAATTTACCTGAATGCCACAATTACTAATTCTGCTTTGCAAATTCAGTCATTCTAAAAAAACCTGAAGCTTCAGCTCCTTTATTCATTAACAAGAAAGAGAACGATATATTTTCTGAAGTTTACAAAAGCTCAACGAGACGGTCACCTACTGGAACTAGATCATTCCTCCTCTGAAGTCCTCCCTATTCTCACAGGTGGCCCTCTCATGGTCGATCACATGTCTTCCGCAGTGCTGATGTGATTATTAGACAGTTTGAACCCAAGAGCTAGACTCTAAAGACCAAGATGCCAAGAGATGCCAAAACTTTGGGTTTCCGGTCACCATAATGGTGGCTGAGCTGGTAGGACTGGAGTTCAGCAGAGAAAGATCCAAAGACCAAGTCCAGACTGGCCTGGAACATGACAAAAACAGTGTTCCGGCCTCAAGCACAGTGATCAGCATTCAATCAGCGTGTGCTCAGGCCAGAACTCACTATGTGAAGAAAATATTCATACCCCACCAGAGTGAGAATGGGCAGCTCTGGCCACAGACAGTGAGACCTGGCAAAGCCCTGAACAGGCTCTGAGCACATGACAGCAGAACTTGACTACTTCCTAATCATTCCTGATCATGGCACCATCAGCGTCCCCTACCTTTCATAATGTGAACAAAGTCAGGGCTCTAATCAAAGCAAGCACAGTCTCCCTCTCCCAAACAAGACAAAACAGCCATCACCAACACAGACACCTTACAACAAAACCTACCACATGACCACGGGCCTAGGTACAGAGGAAGAAGGGCAGAGATAAAACAACAACTGACCTGAGCCTGTCTGGGATCTCACAAGAGCATCTCTCCCTTCCAGCAACGCAGGAATACTCTGCTTCTGAACACTGGGGTCACCAGAAAGAAAAAACACGTCTATAAATACCCACGTTATGTTTATAGGCAGAGATGTAGGACACATAAAATGCAACTGCCCCACATTTTGACTTGTCCATCAACTAGAACCCCTAGAAAGTTACTGAAACATTCACGTGAACATACTAAGAAATTTTTGATGATTAAAAGTATAAAACCCTAGTTATGTTTCTTGAACTTAACTGAAAATGGTAAGGCAAGCCAGAGAATAGCCATTCTAGTAAACTAATTTTTTGAAAACTGGGACAGCCATGACAACAAATTAGTCATCGTAAAAGTGAGCCACATACACTCTTGTCTTCTGTAACAGGAATATGGGACAAAACAAAACACAGTGGAAAGATTTCCATGCAGACTAGCAAAAGGAAGCTTGAAAACTATTCAGACAGCCAGCAGCAGCAGTCCACTCTTCAAGAAAAAGGTTATAGACACATTGCATTATGTGCCTACATGTGTATTTAAAAACAACCAGCAACAACGAATACAGAAATTAGTTAAATCTGATTGATAAAACAACAAGAAGAAAAGACTGGTGGGGGTTCCCTAATATAGTCTTCAATATTCTTATTCATTTTTACTTACAAAGGTAAAAAGTGATCATTATGGAAAAACACAGAAGCACATATACTCAAAATTAGGACATTCACCCCCCCACACTTTTTACTTCTTTATTTTTATTTTCTGGGAGTAATCACTATAACAAAGATTCAAAATATTTTTTTCAGTATCCCATTAAAACAAGCAAATATTTACTCCTGTCTTTTTTGGTTGGCCTGAATTCTTACTAAGAAATGACATGATTACAGTCTATATTTTGGCCAAATTATTTTTTTAAAAGCACAGACAACAGTGTATATCATACCGACCACTTTCTGAACCAGACATCTCTTACAGTTTGGAGCCAAGGGCAGAACTGGATGAAAACCCAGTCTTTCCATTTAATAGGTGGAGAAAATGAGCAGCTAAGTGATCTGACAAGCTCTCTTTGGTCAACAACCTGGCACTGTTTTTCAACAAGGCACAACTTGGCTCTGTCTTCCACAGACAGAGTTTGACTGGTTATAGTCACGTAAGCCCTAAGAAATCAAGATTAGACTGGAACTCTTACCTGGTCATACTAGACATTTTTAAGACTGTATTTATTGTAGAAATCTAAAAGAGAAGATGAAAAATATTTTTATCAATTTTTAGATACAATTATAGTTAGGAAATGACACAAAAAGGAAAAAATATGGAGATGACACTGAGTATGACAACCAAACTAAGTTCCTCCAACCCAGTGGTTCTCTATCGGGGTGATTCTGTCAGCCCCTCAGGACTCCCAAGGACATGTGGCAATGCCTAGAGAAATTTTTGGTTCTTACACCTGGCATATAGAGGAAAAAGTCAACTTGGAGCAGAAATAAAGGAAAAGAAATCTCAGCTCATTCATCTACTAGACCGCAGTATCCATCTTAACTGTTAAATCAACCAAGATGTGGGTGAGGCTCAGAAAAGAGAGAAAACATTTTTGGAGCTGAATGTTAACCAGCTCAGTTTTCAGAAAAGTAGGAATCCACCTTGTGAAGTATGCATGCTAAGTCAACCTGCATCGCAGGAATCCACTCACCCAGGAGTAAAAGATGGGCAGGGGGAATGAAATGAATCTCTTCTCTCCACCAACAAAGCATACTAGAGATAGACAGAGGTAGAGGCCCGGGATGCTGCTACACAACCTATAATGCCCAGGACAGTCCCCCAAACATTTAGGAAACTTGGAGCAGAAATAAACATTCTTTAATATCTCTTCTTAGAACTGTCATTTCAGACATTCTAAATGAAGAAACATACCAAAAAAACAGACCCATAAAAACACCGAGAGATACTTACTAAGTGTGGGTGGAGGCCCAGCTCATGAAAAGCAGCTGAAGTAAACACTTTCTCTTGCACCTGTTTTACTATGGGTCTGCAAATGATGAACAAAAACCCAGACATCAATTTCAATAAAAAGGCAGAACACAAATCCTTTTATTCTTGAAGTGCACTTGCATCTGGACATACCTGTGGAGTTCTGGAATTTCAGGGTTGTTTTTAAACAACGATGAAGTCTTAACACATGGTTTCTCCTCTTGGTTTCTGTCACTTATGCTACCCAAATACTTATTTGGAGAAAACATTTTCTGTATGTTTCCCTTAAATGTCCCTTGAGTTTCTCTGACAGTAGTTTTCTTGGCTGGGAGCAATGATGTTTTGTTCCTCCGTTTTGCTGAGGGAGCCTCACTGGACGCGTGGTGCTTTCTTTTGGTAGCCTCTGCTGGCTGCGTTGTTCCCAAAAGGAAAGATCAACAAGAGATGCATTAGTCCATGAAGACAGAGCGCGGAGTGAAGCCTGACTGCCCACAGAATCGCATCTCTCCCTGCAGAGATCATTACGCCCCATATGTCAAGCAACAGTTTAGGGTTTGCAATCAGATTCTTTGACTCAGCTTTTTCCAAAAGGTTTTAAAAAAAAGGAAAAAAAAATCTCAGCTCATTCATCCACTAGACCGCACTATCCATCTTAACTGTTAAATCAACCAAGATGCAGGTGAGGCTCAGGTAAAGAGAGAAAACATTTTTGGAGCTGAATGTTAACCAGCTCAGTTTTCAGAAAAGTAGGAATCCACCTTGTAAAGTAGGCATGCTAAGTCAAACTGCATCCCAGGAATCCACTCACCCAGGAGGAAAAGAGGGGCAGGGGGAATGAAATGAATCTTTTCTGTACACCAACAAAGCATACTGGAGACAAAACAGAGGAGAGGGATGAGGGAGATGCCGTGCCCCAGCTCATGCCCAGGAAGCGGAAACTTTCATTACATTCTACCCTAGTGCTTGGATCTCTGTCATCCTCTCCCCTCAAGCTGCTCCTCCAGACTCAAACGGTCTGGAGACAATTCCTACCCGCCGTTCCCATTCCAAATGAGAATGCAGCTCCATCCATCACCTCTATCACAATTACCTCTAGCCCTCCTTGCCTTGAGTCCCTCGCCGATTACAGGCAACACACCACTAAGGATTAGTGCCTGTTGCTTCTTACTCTGTAACCTGAATGTGGTGAAATGCACAATGTCCAAACTTTCCCCAGGAGAAGAAACATCCAATTCCTCTATTTTCTTTGGCCCTCTCTTCCAATTTACAAATGAATATAAGAGCATCCCTTGAGTAGCCAGTACTTGTTATTCCAGAGTTGGGTTTCTCTTGGAATGCTATTTTTCTTTTTGCTTGAAATGATAACTTGAGTTTACACATTGGCTTTCTTTAGCCATGACTGTCAGCTTGAGATCAACCTACCATAAACAGGTATTTGTTTCTGGCAACTATAAGGATTCCTTTATCTAAGTAATTCAATAAATACACCTTCAAAAATTTAATATTAATAAAGTTAAGAACTAACCCACTTCATTTTACAAATATATTTTTAAAAATCCCAAGTTTGTGAATCTTCAGATTAAAGAAAGTGATGAAGTCAAGCTTCAGGTCTTTTGAGTCATTTGCAAGACAGTATGAAATTTGCAGATTTCACCCGAACAACAGATTCTTGGGACCCAAAAACTCTTCCAGGCCATTTGCCGTGGAATGAATCCCATGGAATTCCTGCTACTGGTTCCCTGGCAGGTGGTCTTGCAGCCTCTGCCTGAATACTCCCTGCATCCCATTAGGCAGCACACTCTGGTCATGACCAATTCTAGGGATTAGGAAGCTGTTTCTGACATTCAGGCAAGACCTGCCTCCTTGAACAGCTACCTACTAGTCCGAGGTATGCTTTCCACAACACAGAACAAGCTTACTTCCTCTTACATGTAATACTGCTTCATGTATCATATAACTCCCTTTTCTTCCTTCTTTGGACTAAATCATCCTGGTCACCCTTTATACCTATGTCAACGTCTCTCTAATAGCAAGTACTCAGAGTTAAAAACAGTATCAGACACCCTTTCCACTGCTCTAGGCTCAAGTAAAAAATCTGTAATATGATCTAGAAAGCTCTCCAAAATCTGAGCTCTGCCCACCTCACCAGCTTTACCTTTTGCCATCCCAGTCTTCCTTAAATTCCTAGAACGGACCATGCCCCTTCCCTCCTCCAGGCCTTGCACATGCTACCACCACACCCGGGACTCCAATCCTCCCCTTGGCTGCCTAGCTCGCCCTCACCCTTCAGACGGAGGCTTACCAGCTCCATCCTCATAAAAGCCTTCCTGACCTCTCTCCACCCAGTTAAGCCCAAGTGCCCTGTTCTTGGCTCTCCTGGCACCATCATCCTCCTTTGTAGCACTCAGCACAGTAACGAGCATAGCATGCAACTTGTTGGATCTGTCTTTCCCTTTGGATTGTACACTCCACAATGAGAGGGACCAGTCTGTCCTACACAGCACAGAATTCCCTGCACAGGCCTGTGTCTGGCACATAGAAAGTGCTCAATAAATACTTATAAGATGAATGAATGAAACACAATGGAATTATCCCTTTCTACCATCTGAACACTATTCTGCAACTTGTTAGCTTTTCTCTCCTAACACCCACAACACATTCATTCAACAGTTGTCAAAAAGCCTGGTTGTGAAGATACACAGTTGGAAGATTAGCCATACCCTTGAGAAAGTCACAGACTAGTGGGAGAGACAGAAGTGTAAAATCATAAATCCAGACTTACATTGAAACTATAGAGGTAGCTGGGTTCAGTGGCTCAGCCTGTAATCCTGCGCCTTTGGGAGGCTGAGGTGAGTGGACTGCCACGGGTTCGAGACCCGCCTGGGCAGGCGAGACCTCATCTCTACAATAAATCAAAAAATCAGCCGGGCGTGGTAGCGCATGCCTATAATTCTGGCTACTTGGAAGGCTGAGGCGGAAGGATTGCCGGAGCCCAGCAGGTCGAGGCTACGGTGGCCGGGAGTGGCCACTGCACTCCAGTCTGGGCGACAGAGACTCCAACTCAAAAAAAAAAAAGAAACTATAGAGGTAGGTACAAAGGACTATGGGAGCACAAAGAAAGACAGACTAACACAGCCATGGCAAGGGGGAGGCAAGGAAACAAGGAAGGCTTCATGAAGTGGCATCTGAGCAGAGAGAGAATAAGGACACAACTAGATTAAAAATCAGTGGTGCAGCATTAAGCAAGTCACTTCCCTCTGAGTCTGCTTTCACACCTGTAAAATGGGGGGATTACGGCAGATAACCTCTAGGCCCACTGTGCCTTAAGAGTCTAAAATATTAATAAACATATTGAGTAGTTACTAAATGTGAGGCAGTATGCTAAGTATTTACATGAATTACTTCATTTATCAATACAGATTCTGGTATGGTCCCATTTTAAGATAAGAACACTGAGGCAGAGATGTGAGATAATTTGTCCTAGGATCACTGATGGAATTAGGCTTTGCCTGGGCATTATGATTCTACATTTCAGGATCCTGATGACAATGCTATAATGCCATTTATTAGCTGTATCCTGTTTGGTTAGAAAACATCATGTGTGGTTTGATTCCTATTTTGAGTTGTCTTCTAGAAGAATATACATCAAAACATTAAGAAGTGTCATGTCTAAGTATAGCAATTATGGGTGGGTTTTTAAAAATCTTCTTTCCAAATTTTCTATAATACATTTGTTTTAGGCTGGGCACAGTGCCTCACACCTGTAATCCCAACACTTTGGGAGTCCCAGGCAGGAAGATCCCTTGAGGCCAGGAGTTCCAGACTAGGTTGGGCAACATAGTGCGACTTGGGTCTTTATTAAAAAAAAAAAAAAAAAAAAAAATTGCCAGGCTTGGTGGCTCAGCCTGTAATCCCAGCACTTTGGGAGGCTAAGGCGGGTGGACTGCCTGAGCCCACAGGTTCGAGACCAGCTCAAGCAACTTGGCGAGACCTCATCTCTACAATAAATAAATAAATAAATTAGCCAGTCATGGTAGCATGCATCTATAATTCTGGCTACTTGGAAGGCTGAGATGGAAGGATCACTGGAGCCCAGCAGATAGAGGCTGGAGTGGACATACCAAGGCACTCCAGCCTAGATAACAGAGTGAGACTCCGACTCAAAAAATAAAATAAAATAAAATAAATTAGCCAGAAGTGGTGGAACATGCCTATAATCCCAGTTACTTGGGAGACTGAGGTGGGAGAACTGCTTGAGCCTAGGAGTTTGAGGCTGCAGTGAGATATGATCATGCCACTGCACTCCAGCCTGGGCAACAGAGTGAGACCCAGGCTCAAAATATAATAAAAATTTTAAAAACTAAAAATAAATGTTTCAATAACCAAAAAAATTTTTAGAAACAAAGTATTCTCCATAATGTCAGCTATGACATAATTTAAGGCCTTGTCTTAAAGTCTTTCTAAATCCAGTATATCAGCTACATATCCCAAGTTCAGCCTACCAGCAAATCTTTCTGATCAGCATATCCACTATTCTCATCCATAACATCAACAAAAACATAAAGTGTCACTACAAAGACCTGTCATCAACTCATTTACCATTTGCACTCAGAGACATCTCATGGACAGCCTAATAGCAACTCGACTGCACTTTTTTTTTTTTTTTTGAGTTGGAGTCTCACTCTGTTGCCCACCTCAATCTGCTGGGCTCTGGCGATCCTCCCGCCTCAGCCTTCCAAGTAGCTGGAACTACAGGTGCGCACTACCATGCCTGGCTAATTTTTTTGATTTATTGTAGAGATGAGGTCTTGCTGAGTTGCCCGGGCTGGTCTTAAACCCGCGGACTCAGGCAATCCACTCACCTCAGCCTCCCAAAGTGCGGGATTATAGACTGAGCCACCGAGCCCGGCTGACCGCACTTTTTTATGAAGTAGTGAGAAACAGGCCAGACGCAGTGGCACACCTGTAATCCCAGCACCTTGGGAGCCCGAGACAAGTGGATTACCTGAGCCCATGGATTCGAGACCAGCCCGGGCAACTCAGGAAGACCTCGTTTCTACAATAAATCCAAAATTAGCTGGGCATGGTAGCACACGCTTGTAGTTCTGGCTACTTGGAAGGCTGAGGCGGAAAAACTGCCTGAGCCCAGGGGGTCGACGCTGGAGTAGCCATGAGCATGCCACTGCACTCCAGCCTGCATGATGGAGTGAGACTCCAACACAAAAAAAAATCTTTAACAAAAAAGGAAAACAAATCTCTTAATATGAAATAGTATAATGTTGGAACCAATTATTTTATTATAATAATATTTGGTTTACAATGGAATTTTGGACATTAAGGAACTTATCTATGACAAAAAAATCAAAATTTTCTATCTCATATTTTCTAACCTGTGGTAACACGTAACAGTCACCGACATGCATTACAGGTCCATTGACACATGTTGTGCAATAGTAATTTGGTGGACACCTTCCACCCAATGTTTTTTTAGTTGAGCAGACATATGCAGTCTCATTTTCTTCCTTTCACACTAATAATATGTAATTTATTGTCCAGTCTGTTGTTCAAAGATGATGTGAAAAGACGCACTCATGATTCCTGAAAACCACTTCTCATCAGATAGATCAAAGGCTTGACAAATTTCACATGAGACACAGGTTTTTCATTGTTTTTGAATGGCAAACTTCAAGGAAACATATGTTTTTTAAAAATCTGCACTTTCATACATTTGTCCCGCATAACCACCAGTATTTTTTTTCATGTCCCCTGAGAGGGGACATCAGAGTGCAAAGGGTTAATTAATTCCCTCTTGCTACAGTGGTTCAAGCAATCACAAAATCAGATACCCTACATTTATTTACTCTGCATAGTTACTAGGCTCTGTGTATGACACAACCACCCCATTGACCTCCTGTAGCAATCGATTACCCAAAATGGAGCCAACACTACTTTATTATTATTACTATTATTATTATTATTATTACTGGCATTTGTTAAGCACCTTGATAAGCCAATTATAGCCTTTATGTATATTATCTCACCAAATCCTCACAATAACCTTATATGAAGTAGAAATTATTTCTCTCATTTTTTTTGAGTTGGAGTCTCACTGTTGCCCAGGTTGGAGTGCAGTGGCATATTTACGGCCACCGCAGCCTCAAACTGCTGGGCTCAAGTAATCCTTCCACCTCAACCTTCCAAGTAGCTGGAACTACAGGCACATGCCACCATGCCCCGCTGATTTTTTTTTTTTTTATTTATTGTAGAGATGAGGTCTGGCCAACTTTCCAGGCTGGTCTCAAACCATTAGCTCAGGCAATCCTCTCACCTCAGCCTTCCAAAGTGCTGGGATTATAGGTGTGAGCCACCATGCCCAACCTCTCGCATTTTATGGACAGGAAAAGGGAGGGTCAGAAAGGTTAAGTAACTTCCTCAGGCACAAGACCTAACATGTAGTAAGGCTGGCATCTAATCCCAGCTCTGTCCTACTAGAAATCTCATGCTCTCAATGGCTTTTCTATAATTCTCCTCTCTCCTCTCATATAGATGCAGTTAACACCATTGGCTAGCTGAAGACTCCTTACTCCTAAGAATCTAAATCCTAATTACCCCCCAAAAAGCATATAGATAGATAGATAGATCACCAAAGAGAATCTACTCAGTGGTGTTGGCTGGTGTGAATTTATATGAACTCAAGGACTTTCAGCTTCAACACACTGGTTGAACCAAAGTGACTTAGGCAATTGATTTTGCAACAGGAATATGTGTCACTTTTTCGAAATAAAAAGAAAAAACCCAAACCTTTCTAGGCACTAGACTGCATCATTCCTGGTCTTTGAATATTTGTAATATTACAACAGCCTTTCTGTCCTACAGTCCTCCTCTTTTCTAGGAGATAAATCTACTATCCTAGAAACCAGTTTTTCAGTTCTTTTGCTTAAGCCAATTTTAAGGCATCTTTCCCGTCTCTAGTAACGGGATCATATCAACGAATCGTATATAATCGTTCCTTCCCCCATCCGCTGCACGCGGATGAACTCTATCCCATTTCCTTTTAAAGCTCTTCAAAGAAACTTCTCGCCACCAGGCCTCATTCATTCCTGAAATAAACGACCCTTTCTCAGAGTCGAGGAAACTGGCTTGGAGAAGCTAAATCTTGGCCTGGAACTCGCGCCCGAGCCTCGGTTCCTACTTTACACGGGACACAGACTTCAACCCCTCTCACCACCTTTTCCTCCAACTGGCCGCAGGAGCCGGCTCCCCGCCCCTCCGTCCACACTCGCTCCCCTCCCACCCAGAGCATCCCCGCGGGTGGGGTTCGGGCTAGAGACACGTGTTTCTGAGCTACTCCTCCAGAAGCTGCCTGGTGCCTGACTTTCCCCCAACTCTGTCAAGGATTCGAAACCCAACCCCGAGGCACGGCTGCAGCTCGCGGCGCGCCAGGAGCCGGGCGCGCGGGTAGGGACGGAGCTGAAGCCGGCTCGGAACTCACCCGTCCCGCCCGGGCCCC